GGCTGAGTGGCTGTGTGGTTGAGTGGCTGAGTGGCGAGTGGCTGAGTGCTGAGTGGTTGAGTGGTTGAGTGACTGAGTGACTGAGTGGTTGAGTGGTTTAGTGGGCTGAGTGGTTGACTGGTTGAGTGACTGAGTTGGCTGAGTGGTTGAGTGGTTTAGTGACTGAGTGACTGAGTGTTGAGTGGTTTTGAGTGGCTGAGTGGTTGAGTGTTTGGCTGTTGGCTGAGTGGTTGAGTGGTTGAGTGACTGAGTGGCTGAGTGGTTGTGTGGCTGTGTGACTGTGTGGCTGTGTGGCTGAGTGGTTGAGTGGTTGAGTGACTGAGTGGCTGAGTGACTGAGTGACTGAGTGACTGAGTGGCTGTGTGGCTGAGTGGTTGAGTGGTTGAGTGGCTGAGTGGCTGAGTGGTTTAGTGGTTGAGTGGCTGTGTGGCTGAGTGGTTGAGTGGCTGTGTGACTGTGTGGCTGAGTGGTTGAGTGGTTGAGTGACTGAGTGGCTGAGTGGTTGAGTGGTTGAGTGACTGAGTGGCTGTGTGGTTGAGTGGTTGAGTGGCTGAGTGGTTGAGTGGCTGTGTGGTTGGGTGGTTGAGTGGTTGAGTGGTTGAGTGGCTGAGTGGTTGAGTGGCTGAGTGGTTGAGTGGCTGTGTGGCTGAGTGGCTGAGTGGCTGTGTGGTTGAGTGGCTGAGTGGCTGAGTGGCTGTGTGGCTGAGTGGTTGAGTGGCTGAGTGACTGTGTGGTTGGGTGGTTGAGTGGTTGAGTGGTTGAGTGGCTGAGTGGTTGAGTGGCTGAGTGACTGTGTGGCTGAGTGGTTGAGTGGTTGAGTGGCTGAGTGGTTGAGTGGCTGAGTGGTTGAGTGGCTGTGTGGTTGAGTGGCTGAGTGGCTGAGTGGTTGAGTGGCTGTGTGACTGAGTGGCTGAGTGGTTGAGTAGCTGAGTGGTTGAGTGGCTGTGTGGTTGAGTGGCTGAGTGGCTGAGTGGTTGAGTGGCTGTGTGGTTGAGTGGCTGTGTGACTGTGTGACTGAGTGGTTGAGTGGCTGAGTGGTTGAGTGGCTGTGTGACTGTGTGACTGAGTGGCTGAGTGGTTGAGTGGCTGAGTGGCTGAGTGGTTGAGTGACTGAGTGGTTGAGTGGTTGAGTGGCTGTGTGGCTGAGTGGTTGAGTGGCTGAGTGGCTGAGTGGCTGAGTGGTTGAGTGGCTGAGTGGCTGAG